CTGCTGCTGCTGCTGCAGCAACTCATTATAATCATAAGCAATAGCAGCAGCAGCAGCAGGAAGAACAACAGAAGCAACAGCAGCAGCAGCAGCAGCAGCAGCGGCAGCACAAGCTGTTCGCAGCATTTTGGTGGTTTTGTGTTGCAGGGGGGCAGAAAACGGTCGCCGCTGCTGCATTGCTGCTGGCTCAGCAGCTCGCCAACAGCAGCAGCAGCAGCAGCAGCAGCAGCAGCAGCAGCAGCAGCAGCAGCAGCGGTGGCGAGGGTTTGTTGCTGCTGGATGAGCCTGATGCTGCCTTGGATGGAAACTACGCGCAGCGGTTTGCTGCTGCTCTGCAGACTGCAGCACAAACCCTCAAATGCCAGATCGTTATCACCACCCTCAGGTAAACCCTAAACCCTAAACCCTAAACCCCAAACCCTAAACCCTAAACCCTAGATACGAAATTCTAAACTGTAAACCCTTTTCTTCTATTTCCACCGCCTCTCAAGGAAGAAACGCACGCTTCACGACTGGAGCTCTAGGGTTTAGGGTTTAGGGTTTAGGGTTTAGGGTTTAGGGTTTGTGTGTGCAGGAAGGAGCTGCTGAGCTGCGGCGACAAGTTTTGGTTGGTGCAGCAAAGCCAGAGGGCCTCGCGCCCCCGAGAAATAACAAAAGAAGAAGCAGCAGAGTTGCTGCTGGATCTGCCGCAGCAGCAGCAGCAGCAGGAACAGCAGCAGCAGCAGCAGCAGCTGCTCGCGCTACCTGAACCTGTCCCGTCTATGGGCTAGCTGCGTAGCTCAGACACCACCAGCAGCAGCAGCACAGCAACAGCAGCAGCAGCAGCAGCAGCAGCAGCAGCAGCAGCAGCAGCAGTAAAACACAGCGTGTGTTATGTCTTTGGTGTTTAGTGGCAGCGTCTTTTTCTTTTCTTTTTTTTTTTTCTTTTCGACAGATTGAAGTTTTGCATTCAGCTCAGTGCTGCTTGAGGGTCTGCCCAGCCCCCCAGCTAGCTAGCTAGCTAGCTAGCTAGCTAGCTAGCTAGCTAGCTAGCTAGCTAGAGGATAAACAGCCAGCTAGCTACGGTGCGATGCTCGGGAGTTCATTGGCGTCCCTGGTAGATAAAGAAAATCCCAACCCACAGCAAAAGAGCAGGCTGGCTAGCTGGCTAGCTAGCTAGCTAAAGCGATAGAGCTAGGATATACAGTATATATATATATATATATATATATATATATATATATATATATACTCGTCTACACACAGATAGAGAGAGAGAAGGGCGAGGAGATATTCTGTTGCAACAACTAGCCTGCAGCTAGCCAGCTTGCAGCTAGTTAGCTAGCTAGTTAGCTAGCTAGCTAGCTGGGTAGCTAGCTAGCTAGCTAGCTAGCTTAAGGGGGCATGGCTAGCTGGGGTTTTGACGTTCCTCCTCTGGCTGCGGGGCCTTCCAGTCTAGAAGTTTCATCTTGGAGAAACTGAGAAGAGCCAACAAACCCCAGCGATTAGGGTTTAGGGTTTAGGGTTTAGGGTTTAGGGTTTAGGGTTTGATTAGGGTTTAGGGTTTAGGGACAAGGAAAGGTGTTGGTGGTTTCAGAGTTGATGTGTATACGCCGAAGCAAAACACAATCCTAGGGTTTAGGGTTTAGGGTTTAGGATTTTTTTTTTTGTATCGTTTCTCTGCCTCGCTGTACCAACCCCTGCGGACGAGGGTTTAGGGTTTAGGGTTTAGGGTTTAGGGTTTAGGGGTTGTGTACCCCCATCCTATTTCTTGCGAGGCTGTGAGGGGTGCTTTGTATTTCTGTGTTGGGGTGTATTGTCTCATCACCGCGGCCCACTCCTTAACTCCGCCAGCAAAAGCTTCTTCTTTATATTTATATTCATCTTTTAAACTATTCTGTGAAAAAAAAAAAAAAA